GGATAACCAACTCTCTCTTGGCGCTTCCCTAGGCAGCCCGAGCCTCCGCGGCGTCCCGGTCTTCTCCCGCCGCACCCAGCCTGGGCACGAGAGGAGAGCAAGAGGGCCCGAGCCGCGGGCGGCGGGCAGGCGGTGAAGATGGCAGAGGCACCGGCCTCCCCCGTCCCGCTCTCTCCGTTGGAAGTGGAGCTGGACCCAGAGTTTGAGCCCCAGAGTCGGCCGCGCTCCTGTACGTGGCCCCTGCAGAGGCCGGAGCTGCAGGCGAGCCCGGCCAAGCCCTCGGGGGAGACGGCCGCGGACTCCATGATCCCCGAGGAGGACGACGATGAAGACGACGAGGACGGTGGCGGCCGAGCCAGCTCGGCCATGGTGATCGGTGGCGGCTTGAGCAGCACGCTGGGCTCTGGGTTACTCCTCGAGGACTCGGCCAGGCTGCTGGCTCCCGGAGGGCAAGACCTCGGTTCCGGGCCAGCGTCCGCCACAGGCGCCCTGAGCGGGGGCCCGCAAACGCCGCTGCAGCCTCAGCAGCCACTGGCGCCGCAGCAGCCGGGGGCGGCTGGGGGCTCTGGGCAGCCGAGGAAATGCTCCTCGCGGCGGAATGCCTGGGGGAACCTGTCCTACGCCGACCTGATCACCCGTGCCATCGAGAGCTCCCCGGACAAACGGCTCACTTTGTCCCAGATCTACGAGTGGATGGTGCGCTGTGTGCCCTACTTCAAGGATAAGGGCGACAGCAACAGTTCTGCAGGCTGGAAGGTGGGTACCTACCAGGGGCTGGTGGCTGGACCTGCCAGGCACGTATTCAAGCGAGTTCTTGCCCGCCCCGAGAAGGGTTAGAACCTCTGTTGTGAGGCTTGGGGGTGAAGGGTGGTTCTTTTCACCCCTGGTGGAGGAAAGCCTGGGATTGTCCTCAGAGTGGGAAAAGGAGGATCCCTAGCATGCCTTGGGCATGCCTAAGTGAGGAGGCTGTAAGCAAGGGACACTAACGAGGTAAGAATGGGGACATTTGTATTTGCTGGATTACCCCACCTGTGGTGGCGAGGTAGGTTCTCGGCTAACTTTGAAATAGAGGGAGTGGAAGTGGGATGCAGCGAGGACAGTGTGGGTGGAGGGAAGGGTGTGTGTGTGGGAAGTGTTTGGGACTGCATTCAAGTCAGTGGCAGGAGCATGATACTAGCAAACTGAATGTGGATCCTTGGGTTCAACTTGTGCCTGTGGGTGTCGACACCAACAACAGGCAAATAGATCCCATTAGAAAAAGCAATGGTTGCAGACTTTCCTGGCCGGCTCTCATGCCTTACCTGCTTACACACCTTTATTCTTTAGAGATGTCACTCCAGCAAGCCTGCCAGCAGGTAGCCTCAGAAAAGCTCTGGGGTTTGGAACAGGCTAGGTTTGTCATCCAAAAGTGTACTGGCTACACCCGCTGCTCCTGTGGAGGCCGATGCTGGTGCAGGCAGTGTTTGAGGCCCATGTCATGTGTTGGCGACTCGGGTCTGAGCTTTACCCATGTGGGAGGGAGGGCAGGGTTGGGCAATAATGGCTTCTACCTATAAATGAGCTGGAGAGAGACTTCTGTTCCTTTTCAACCTCTTGGGGCACCGGGACACGTGGTTGGGAGAGAGGTGAGGAAAGGCTGTGATGTAATGACTTCTGTTCCCCTGCTGGACTGCAATGCTCTTCTGAGCACCTCCAGGCCCATTCACATGAAGGTAGCAGCAGAGGGTCCCACATCACTGGAGTTGTCACTTACCACTTGCTTTTGCTGGCAGTTTTCCTCTTCCTAACATCACTGCCAGTGTGGAGCTTGGTGACTTCTGGGTTCTAGGTTTTTTTAGGTGCATAAAGTGAGAACAGTTCATTTTGTGGAGAGCTGAAACAAAGCTTATGGAAAAGCTTGCAGATGAAGTGTCTTCTGAGAAGTGTCTTGTCCCAAAGAAGCTTGCTTAGATGGTTTAAAAGCAAAATGTGTGCTTTGATACCACTCCACAAACCTGTCTCATTTCAGATGACTCAAATGCTGATGTTACAAGTCTTATATTTGATCTGATTTTATTGATTTCCAAAGGAGTGACGAAAGTGTGAGGTGAGGGTTGTTTGCGGAAGGGATGGGGCTTCTGTTTGAAAGCTTTGCTGATGTGGTAGCCTTGAACACTGCTTTGAAGTGGATGGCAAGGGTTTACTCCCGTGGACATTATCTGGAAGGTGTGTGTAGAACTGGGCAAAGTGCATTTGGGAATTTGGAATACGTCTCAAAAATTGCATACTTGAAATTAAATCCTACATATTCGAATTAGCTATAATCTATTAGTTAAAGGTTACTTAACTGTAAAAAGCTAACATAGGAAAGGGGTTTTAACTTTTCCTGATGAGTGTCTGTGTGTGTGTGTGTGTGTGTGTGTGTGTGTGTGTGTGTGTGTGTGTGACTGTGAGAGTGAGTGGATGAGAGTGTGTATGTGTGTTTATGTGTGTGTGTGAGTGCTTCTCTCCTTTAATTGGACTCAGATCATTAGGCTTGGTAGCAAGTGCCTTCACCCACTGAGCCATCTCACTGGCCCCTTTCCTCTGATTTTTAGGATTACAAATGCAATTTAGTTCAGTAAGGAGTGTTTCTTGCTATTGTGTTTATAAAAATAATACCAGTTTTGTGTGTTTGAATTGTTACTTTTTTTTAGATTTACTTCAGAAAGTGGTTACCGAAAGTAACCACAAATTGAGTTTTCATAAAGATTTCAGGATTTCAGTAGAGCCAAGGGGACATAGTCATATGCAGGTTTTATAACTTTTATTTGTCTCAAAGTCTTTTTTTCCCCCACTGCTATCTTTGACTAAAGCCATATAAAATACTATAAATAGGATGTTTCAAGGCTTATTATGTGTTTCAGGGTATATGCTTTATAATTATTTTTTTAATTCTAAGTATATGTGTCAAGTAACCCTTGAAGACTTAAAGGAGTATGATTTAGTTGAAGTTTTTGTAAGTTGACTTTCATCAAAAGAAACAGCCATGCAGGGATGTCCGTATCTTTAATGATGGAGACAGAAGGCCCTTGGAACAAGAGCTGGTTTTACCCATGACTAATAGCCAGCCTTTTTTTTGTTTGCTGGTTTAGTGGGGCTGGAAGAAAAGGTCAAGGGGAGAGGTCAGGAGCTAACTGTGACCCACTTCCATGCATCTGACTTTAGGAACTGACTCCTGTAATGAATAGTCATTTTGGAAACCTGCACTTTAACCACACTACTTTCATTGTGAGTTACTCTTTAGAATGTTTAGCATAAAAAATGTCTAGAATTCAGGTTAACTTGTGGATATTTGCATACAGGGCAGGTATGCAGGGTCTCAAACTTACTTCTCTTGTGGCCTTTGGGGCCAGAACATCATGTGATTCTACAATCAGAATTGTCACTTTAAGATTACAGAATGAAGCTGGGGAGTAATAGTGTATGCCTTTAATCACAGCACTCGGGAAGCTGGCAGTCTCTGAGTTTGAGGCCAGCTTGGTCTACATGGTAAGTTCCAGGACTACTTAGTAGAAAGACTGTCTCAAAAAAAAAGAAAAAAATTAAAGAATTAAAAAAGAGGCCTTGAAAGGTGGAATTTAGTCTAGTCATTTCCAGCACTGGCTGACTTTTTAGAATCACCTGGGAGCAGTTGAAAAATACTAGCTGTCATTTGGCTCATGTGTGACAGTGTCATCACTTTCTGGCATTGGTTCCTCAGGTGATTCTAATGTGTAGCCAGGATGAAGTTTGCTGATGTTGTTAGATCGTTTCATTGGAGAAGAACTTGGTCTTTCAAGAGATTGAAAACTACTCTCAAGTCACAAGGAGTACAAGACTAGTTAGTAGCTACAGATCTAGAGGTCTTGGTCTCTGGCCTTTATCACACACTATTTTCTTTAAATTGATGTTTTAACATTTTGCTTTTCTGACAAGCACAGTTGTTCCCCTCCCCCTGCCAGGCTCCCCTCAGATACTGCTTTTATTTCAGCATCAGGAGCGGGGCTAGCAAAGGTGTCATATTTGGGTAGCTGCATATGATATGTCATCTGTCGGTGTGGTTGCTTAGGAAGACTGAAGTAGCGCAAATGGCAACAAAGATAGCATTTTAACAAAAGAGGAAGCCCTTGCCCAATGAGTACTGTGCCTGGGAGGATGGTGGCTATCTCCCAGGCTCCCTTGCCTCAGCCGTTACAGTCGAGTGAACAACCAGATGTGGTGTACCGGAAAAGGTTACTGTTCCTTTATTCAGACCTTGAAGGGCACAGTAGTGGGTCTGCTCAGGTCCTCTTGTATTGGGAGACCCCAGTGACTCTAGGGTTTACTAGGGACCCCTGTTTATTTACTCCTTTATCCAGATCCCCATATGCACTCATTTCTCATGAGTTAGGACAGGGTCATACGTAACAGCCCCAGGTTTCTGTGGGGGTGCCTACATTGTGAAGACTTCTGCTTTAGTTCAGAGGGCAAGCCTTCCAAGTCTGAGCCTTTCATGGGAAAGTATTGCCAAGCTTTAAAAAAGAAAAAGATGAGGGCTGACCTGCCTTGCCCATAAGGCCTCCAGAGAGGAGCCCCAGACCTGGGGAGACTTCAACATTCTTTACTGAGAAAATGTTATTTTAATTGCAACTTGTTTTAAAATTTAGTTTAATTTCGAAATGACATAGCTGTAATTCCATGTTGGTTTATAATTTTGATCTGGGTCCCTTTCGGATACCAAAGGGCCAGTGAAACAGTGTGTGAAGAATCTGTCTTCTGCGTGGCCTTGGTTGTTTTGTAATTTCCTCTGGCGGTGCTCTTGGTCAGTGATTCTCAATAACATACTTCCTCTTTTCTGCAGCAGCCCTGCACAGGGACTGTTTTCCTCTTTTACAAAGCTGTGTCATTGACCTATGAGTGAAGAAATTGTATCTTTTAGACTTTGATCTTTGACCTCATGTAACAGAAAGACTTCAGAAAGAAGCTAAGTGTGTGTTTTCATGTGTTTATCTCCTCAGAAAATGAAACTATAGCTGGCTTATTTTTAGGAGACTTTAGGAGTGTTCTATTTTAGGGAAATGATACTATAAAACATGTTGAAAGTAAACTTTTTAGGGCTCTGCTTCTGATTTATATTAAACATACCAGATAGTTTTATCTGGAAGATAATGAAAAGGCCTTGTCTACTTAAAAAAAAAAAAAATCATTTACTTGAATTGGAAAACAAAATGACTTAGCAGACATCATCCTCCCAAACCCCTTGATGGCAATGTAGAGATAAGCCTGGTAGGCCAGTGCATTTTTGTGAGTTCCCCACTTATTCATTGCTGGCACCCCAGAAGCCAGATTTCTAGGGCTGGATAGAAAATGGCATTTACTTTGTTCTAACATCTTTCCTTTGGGAGACAAACTTGATCCTTTTCCTGACTTATTTATTTCCTTTTTATGTGTCACATAGGAGGAGTCTAGGAACCAGACTGCCTTATGTCTGCTATAGGAAGAGCTGGGGAACAGATGTACAAAAGTGTGTTAATATCCATTGATACTGGTAGTAAGCGAATTGAAGGTGACAGAATGAAAACACTTTGTCCCCACTTCATCAATTCCCATTTCACTCATCCAGCATGTGTTTATTAAAAGCATACTGTACACAGGGCATACCACCCAGCCCCAGGGATACAGTGGTGGTATACTGCAGATAAAATTCCAGTTCACTGGAGTTTGTGTTCTAGAGGGCAGAGACAGGCTGCTAACATGAAGGCTGTGCTTTGTGAGCC